GTCACCATGGAGATTCATGTTGACCCTGACACACTGCAAAGTCTTAGATCCAAGGGAGATTCTATTTAACCCAGTATGCTTACTAGGTCCAGGAAATGTTAAGGAAAATTTTCAAAACTAATTGTTTAAAGAAATGCATTTAACCCCTTTAGCGGGGTTAAACCTCCATAATCCATAGACCAGCCATTCTCAGATACCTGTCTCCACTACATTTCGGATAACTATGATTTCCCCATGTGTGATCACCAGCTCTCCAGTTACAGGCTTTGTTTGCAAGTTCAATCCTCACTTGGTTACTTATTTTTATTTAAAAATTGTGCATGTGTATAGAAATTGTTGCCATCAGATGATATAGTAGTGAGACCTTCCTGGGCCAAGCCACTAGACAGCCACAATATATGGTTAATTTAGAAAGAATGACAAATTTCTATTTAATTATCTTTATTACAGATGAGAAGTGTATTAATTAAAATTTTTGAAATGTCGTTGATAAAAATACATGAATACCCGTCCTTTTAAGAAAAAGAAAAAAATCCAATACTGTGTTAATGAAGTAGCTTGGGGGTAATGAAATCAGTTTGGAAATTGGAATATAGGAAAGCCCTTGAATGATCTGCCAATAACTGTGTGATCTGTGATAATTCTGCCTCTCCAGACTCATATCTAATGAACAGAAAAGATTACATGACAGAATTTCTATAAATCTTATATTTCTAAAGTTATAGGAATCCATGACCAGTTACCTGAACATATACAGTGTGTTTTAATTCAAATTAAGTCCTTTATTAGGCTTTTTACTGGTGTTAAAAAAGAAAAAAGTAACTTTTTTTTTTTTGAGTTGGAGTCTCACTCGGTCTCCCAGACTGCTGGAGAGTGGCCACCGCAGCCTCGACCTGCTGGGCTCCAGCGATCCTTCCACCTCAGCCTTCCGAGTAGCCGGAATTACAGGCACGCGCTACCATGCCCGGCTAAGTTTTTGATTTATTGTAGAGATGAGGTCTTGCTGCCTAGGCGGGTCTCGAACCCGCGGGCTCAGGCAATCCACTCACCTCAGCCTCCCAAAGGCACGGGATTACAGGCTGAGCCACCGAGCCCGGCTAAAAGTAACTTTCGACAGATTAAATTTAATAGAGTTTAATTGAGCAAAGAACAAGTAGTGAGTTGGGCAGGCCCTAGAAACAGAAGAGGTCAGAGCAACCTCAGGGCTGTCACATGGTTGGATAACATTTATGGACAGAAAAAGGAAGAGGAAGTGCCGAGAACAGAATGAACCATAGAGCCAGCTGGATTGATTGTAACTTAGCATCTCACTTATTTGAACAAGGTTTAGACAGTTGGCCACCTGTGATTGGCCAAAACTCTGTGATTGGTACAAGAGGAGGTTACAGTCTGTCTACCTATTCAGTTAGGTTCCAGTTCACTATGTACAGAGAAACCTTTAGGCTGAACTTAGTGTAAGGAGGCAGCTTTAGGCCAAACTTAATTTAACACTGATAATTCACTTGCTTCCAAAAGTGTTAATGTAACTATCACCACAGATTTTAACATCTTTGGGGAGATTTCTTTTTTCCTGTTCCATGGTTTTTAAAACATTAGAATAAGCAAAATTATAGTTACTTTCTGCTCTCCTATACTTTAGCTTTTCTGTCTTTTTATCTATAAGGTATATGAATGTGAGGAGAGGGCGGGAAGAAACATAAGTTACAACGCAGAATTATCCTTCTGATTTGCACGAAACCTCATTGGTCATTTCCTCCCCAACAGAAATCTTTTCAGTGAGTTCACACTAAAGTTTTGGCTTTATTTTTTATATTATGCTTTAACTAAATCTTGGAATAAAAACAAAATTCAGTCTGGCTTCTGATGGATATTGTCTTTTTCAAAGGAATTGTTGCCTTTCCGATTAAAAAGTCAAGCCTACCTTCAGTTAAAATCCAAAAAGAAAATTAAAAAGGAATTTTGAAATGCACATGGGGTGATTTTACCAAAATGAGAGCTAGTTAGATATACATAGGAAAGTCCAGCAACTCTGAAACTGCTTTATATTGGTGGTCCTAACAACCACCGTGTACATGGATTTTTACACACAAAGAAATAGACTTTTGCACTTAAAGCAAATACATTTTCAAATAACTAAATATTTACTCAACTTCTATCATAAATCAGGCAGAAGCTTAGCCCTGGCCCTCAAGAAGCTTAATTGACATTTAATGGCTTTACGAACTGAGTTGGCAACAAATATTTCAAATATGCAGAAAATTAGCCGATATCTCAACTGATTCTGTTTGGAAGAAAATTTGTTATGGGTTTATTTACCACTCTCCATAAAAACTTCATCTTTTATTCATAACACTAACTCCTCAAAACACAGAATCAATAAGATACCAATCTTAGCTGCTTTTTGGTGATACTCAAGGGAAGAGTCTTGAAGATCAACATAAGGAAGAGTCCACCTTAATATAGCATTAATGCATTTTAAAAATTCTAGCTGGAATCTGTTTGAAGATGAGCTTAAGATGTATTTTGTATCTCATTAGAACACAATGGCCACTTCTTCCATTGGATTTGTGGGGATTTGAGGGGGGAGTCCCTGGATTCAAGCAAGTCACTTAGCAAGGCCATCTTGCTTCCAGAAATGAAGCAGTTACTACAGGGATGGAGCAGGGTCACTGACTTAGCAGTGAGAGAGACTGAAAGAGGGCAGTGACCACAGTGGAAGAGCACACCAGCTACAGAACAGAGACAAACCTTTAGCTAGTTCCCTTTTGAAGTTCATTTTGTATTCTACTTTTTCATAAATGCTTAAGTGGCTCTGTTATAAATAACATATAAATGGCCAGGCACAGTGGCTCACTCCTGTAATCCCAGCACTTTGGAAGGCCAAGGTGAGAGGCTTGCTTGAGTCCCAGAGTTTGAGACCAGCCAGGGCAACAGGATGAGACCACGTCACTATCAAAAATAAAAAAAAAAAATAGCCAGGTATGGTGGCATGTGCCTGTAGTCCCAGTTACTTGGGAGACTAAGGCTCAATAATCATTTGAGCCCAGGAGATTGAGGCTGTGGTGAGCCATGAGCACGCCACTGTACTCCAGCCTGGATGACATAGTGAGACCTTGACTCAAAGCAATAAATATATATATATATGTGTGTGTATATATATATATATATATGTAATACTAAACATAGCAGATCCTCAATACTTATAATGAACACTGTACAGAAATTTTAAAAGAAAAAAAACAAACATACATTTAATACATTTATGAGAAATACCTTTTTAGAAAGTAAAATGTACATGTTTCAAAATGTAATGTGTACCTAAGATGTGGACTAAGCCTGCTTTCTTAAAAGTCTGACAGGTAGATGAAACAGTTTTCACTTACAAATCTGCTCCCATGTGCCAGCCATTCTGCTGGGAGATTAAGACACTAGGACACCCTCTTGGATTGGGAGTAGTGGAAAACTGCCAGGGGAGGGGAGGTGGGATTGGCAGTTGAGGAAAACTGCCAGGGGAGGGAGGGGCACACCTCATCAACAAAGGTACCTGCATAATGAACATTTGTATATCTAACACTGAATTGTACCCCACATCTTTAAAATTAAAAAAAAAAGATACCCGCTCCAACCTCTGGGAGCCCCCATCCTATAAAAGGGGTATGTAATACATAAGCATCCAACACCCTGACACTCAAAAGTGCCACAGGAATGTATACAACGTAACAGTTCTGCTTAGAAGAAAAGAGAAAGTAATATGATTCAAGATGCACCTTCCGGGATATTCCTTGGATGCATAGCTCTCACTATTCTCTTCCCTTAGAGAAAAATCCACAGCAGCACCAAACTGTGCAGACAAAGAAGAGGATATCAGTGTCATTTAGATGCACAAACTCTGAAATCACACATTAAGTGACTTTTTGTTTGTTTTTTGAGTCAGAGTCTCACTCTGTCACCCAGGCTGGAGTGTAGTGGCATGCTCATGACCACCAAAGCCTTGACCTGCTGAGCTCAGGCAGTCTTCCTGCCTCAGCCTTCCAAGTAGCTGGAACCATGCCTGATTTTTTTTTTTTTTTTAAGAGGTGAGGTCTCACCATGTTACTTAGACTGGTCTCAAACCCCTAAGCTCAGACAATCCTCTCGCCTCCACCTCCTAAAGTGCTGAGATTACAGACGTGAGTCACCACGCCTAACCCACACATTAAGTTTCTTCTTTTTTTAAATTTTCTTTAAAAAGTTTAATGTTTGATAAAATAAAACAAACTTTTAATACCATAGAAACCTTTTAACATGTACAATGACATATTATTATTATGTACAACTTCAAAAACAAATGCTTCCAGCTCCAAGTAAAGTGACATTGAATATCCTGACTATAGTTAAGCGGAGGAAAGTTCCTGGATGGCCAATGTTTTCCTTGGTTTGGAAAAAAAAATTGTACAATTGAAAAATATAAATAAGACCTTCAATGAGTTGAGAATCATAAAAATGCTATCTGAATTCAGTCATCTGGATCTTGGGAAGTTTGTAATAGTTGTAAGAGTTCAACAAGCAAAAGGAAACTCTGTGAATATTCGAACTTCAGTCTTCCAGGAGAGGTCCTGTAGGTTCACAGTTGGTCTATCAAAAATAAAAGCTATTCCTATTGTGGTAGAACTTAGTATCTGGTTCATATACCATTTTTCACCAGCTCATGGACTCTATTCTCATCAATGATTAAAGGTGCATGAAATTCTTTATCAGCCAATAACTTTCTAGTCCTTCTCTGGCACAGGAGATAAGAGGAGAGATTTCACACATCATTAGCACCTTCAAGAGGGGAATTGCTGGAAGGGAGAGCCATTTTCATCTATGAAGTGGCCCCCTGCATTGCGGACCCAGCAATGATGAAGGGACATCAAGGCATACCTCACAGTAGTAGGGTTGTCCTTCCCATTCTGACTGTCTGCATTCTTCAGTGGGGAAAATTCATTTTCCCGTAATACTTCATATACCACAAACTTCTTTGTGAACTGGCTGGGCAAGAACACCTACTACGTTTCTGGAATGAGCTGGAAGAAGCCCAACGAGTAGAGCTTTACACAGAGCTCCAAGCCATGAACTTTGAGGAGCTGAACTTCTTTTTCCAAAAGGCCATTGAAGGATTTAACCAATCTCACCAAGAGAAAGTGGATGCACGAATGGGACCTGTCCCTCGAGAGGTACTGGGGAGTGCTACCCGGGATCAAGATCAGCTCGAGGCCTGGGAAAGCGAAGGATTTTTCCAGATTTCTCAGAACAAAGTAACAGTTCTTCTTCTAGTTGGAGGGCAGGGGACAAGACTTGGAGTTGCATATCCCAAAGGGATGTATGATGTTGGTTTGCCGTCCCATAAGACACTTTTTCAGATCCAAGCAGAACGTATCCTGAAGCTACAACAGTTAGCTGAAAAATATTCTGGCAACAAATGTATTATTCCATGGTACATAATGACCAGTGGCAGAACAATGGAATCTACAAAGGAGTTCTTCACCAAGCACAAGTACTTTGGTTTAAAACAAGAGAATGTAATCTTTTTTCAGCAAGGAATGCTGCCTGCCATGAGTTTTGATGGGAAAATTATTTTGGAAGAAAAGAGCAAAATTGCTATGGCTCCAGATGGCAATGGTGGTCTTTATCGAGCTCTTGCAGCCCAGAATATTGTGGAGGATATGGAGCAAAGAGGCATCTGGAGCATTCACGTCTATTGTGTTGACAATATATTAGTAAAAGTGGCAGACCCAAGGTTCATTAGATTTTGCATTCAGAAAGGAGCAGACTGTGGAGCAAAGGTGGTTGAGAAAACAAACCCTACCGAACCAGTTGGAGTAGTTTGCCGAGTGGATGGAGTTTACCAGGTGGTAGAATATAGTGAGATTTCCCTGGCAACAGCTCAAAAACGAAGCTCAGATGGACGACTGCTGTTCAACGCAGGGAACATTGCCAACCATTTCTTCACCGTACCATTTCTGAGAGATGTTGTCAATATTTATGAACCTCAATTGCAACACCATGTGGCTCAAAAGAAGTTTCCCTATGTGGATTCCCAAGGGCAGTTAATTAAGCCAGACAAACCAAATGGAATAAAGATGGAAAAATTTGTCTTTGACATCTTCCAGTTCGCAAAGTGACTTCTAAAGAGTCATTACCTTTCACTAACACTAAGTTTCTTCACCTATATGATGGAGATCGTGCACACACCACTCAGAGTTTTGCGTCTGTACAGTAAGAGGTGTAGTGGCTAGCTTGCCGTAAGCACAGTTCATCTTAGAAATTATTTTTATTTGCTACTGAAATAGCAACGATAGTCTTGCAATGAGAAAATTCAGGACTTCTTAAGTAGCCCTATGAGACTAGAGCATGAAATTTGATTGGAGAGGCCATGATGAAAGAGGCCCGAAAAATGTTCCACCTTGAAATTTCCTTTAATGCCCCCAAAGAGTTCCAACTAGATGCAAATACAATGGGGGAAACACCTCACTAACATTGCCATGCGTTCTGAAAAGAATGCGAAGAAGATACTGAGCAAGTGACCAGTCGAGAGATCTGTCACTGAGGAAACCATCTCTGCTATGAACGCCGGAGAACAGTTTTCATGATTATGAATAGTTTCATGTTTATTAGTTACATAACTGTAATATTTTAGGAGTTTCTGAAGCAATTCATATGACTTTTTTATTGATATTTATGAAAGTTTTTTTTAAAAAAAACCAGTATGATGATGCCATTTTTGAGAAATGTGTATAGTAAATACACAGTTTATTTTGAAGCTGACTTACTAGAAGCATTCTAGCTGTAAACCTAAGTCCACAGACATTTAGGTAGTTAAAGAAGCAAGAAAATACAACTCTTTTCTTCTGTGCAGCTCCAGTCAATGAACTTTTCAATATTACCTCTCCATTTTCTTTTTTCACCATGTGAAAATGGCTGGATAAATATTTCATACATCTTCAAACTAAACTAAAACAATTTCAATTTTATTACTACAACTTTAAATCATGAATTTGGATGGATTATCTTACAATACAAAAGGAATGAAAGAAATGAGAGAATATATTAATACATATTTATAATATTGATAGAAACAGAACTTTTGGTTTTGGTCTTTTTCAGAATATCACTGATGAAAGGGTAGATGACAAGGTAGATATTCAGTAGCTGTAGGTATAAAAGTGAAAATGTAATGTCTAATTGAATATATCAGGAAGGATGGATTATGTAGTACAAACACCACGAGCAACTTTGAGACAAACCTTGTGTTGTTGTGCCCTCCAGTGGCCATTTGGAGAATTGATCCATCCTCAGTTCAAGAAACACAAAGGGTCTAAGGAGAACAAGCCAGTGAGTGACAGAGTAAACAAGCAAAACTGTATCCTATGAGACCCTGAGACTATTTCTTTTTCTAGTCTAAATTTCTGAAGGAATAGGAAAGTTATCAGGCTTTGGAAATTCTTCAACCGCTTCCAAGGATGCAAAGGAACTACTGATTGGTTTGAAGTTCAGATGATTCTTTTGATCATTCTTGAGAATACTATTCTGAGACACTCTGTAAAGAGGGATTGCTAACCACAGAATGGAAACTTGAACTTTTAACTCAAGAAAGGAATTCTGCATGCGACACGAGTGACACTAAGCCTCTGACACTGGGGGAGAGTGGGTGCTTCGGTCAACAGGTTCCTGGGCTTGGTATTCTTTGGGAAACCAGCAGAGAGCTAGAAGAATGCTAGAGTAATAATTTCACATGGACTTTGCAAGATCCTCAAACTCTAACTGCACTGGCAAAGCAAGGATGTTTGGTCATTAGACTTTAACTGCATAATCATAGTTAGATGGAGCATCAAAATAAGAAAAACACCTGTTATTCTCATCTTTCCCTTTCACTATTAATTTAGTCCCAGAATTAGAAGCAGCTAATAGATCCAAGTCCGCCAAGCATGTTAGGTAGATTTTTATTCCTATTTCAATGTAGCTGGGATTTCTGATGCCACTGTTTTCCATCAGTCTTGAAGGGAATTGAACCTTTAGCCTTTATGTGGTTGTAGATTTTTGTTGTTGTTCAGATTACTTTGATGTCTTGTTGTGAGAATTAAATGGATTGGAATGTGTCTAAATTTTATGTAAACCCAGAGACAACTTAACTATTTGTATAATATTTCTAAAAAAATTTTCAGTTTTTTATAAATGAAAGTTTTCTTTTATGAGGCAGACAATTTCTTTTAACAAGTGAGTTCAGATGCCACACAGAAGTGAATTTAGTAGCCTAGAGATCCTGTTTCACTTTCTAAGAGAACAGATCCTATAAATTGCATTCTGTGTGCCATTCCACTTCCTGTCCAATGGTGATGTGGAAAAACAGCTGTTGTGTGGGAACTGTTCAGAGCTGTGTTTCCCAAACCACAGGTCATGGAAGGGTGGTTAAGTAGGCTCTGTTTCCCTTTCTTCCAAAATAGCACCCAAGGCTCTTCTGACCTTGTCTCCTTCCACCTCTGAGTCGTAGGCCTACCAAGGAGTTAGTTTATCCTACTCCCTTTTGTTGTATTTATTTATTTTTAATTGCAAAGAAATAAATACATATACTGGGAGAGTCTAGAATTCTCTCAGGAGACCTGCTAGGTAAATATATAAATATTTATTTATGCAGAAATATATATTTAATATCTATAATTTACCTGCTGGATATTTGTATATGCATAAGTAAATAATTAAATCTCTCTAAGATGCTTTGCTGACCTGATTCTATTAGCTGCATCTAATTCTGGGGCTAAATTAATACTGAAAGGTAAGGATGAAAAAAACAGGAATTTTTCCCATTTTGATACTCCATCTAACTCTGATTATTCAGTTAAAATTTTAGGGCCAAACATCCTTGTTCAGTCAGAGCAATGCAATATATATGTATGTATTAGCCAAGTTTTCTTGGTTAGAAGAATAGAACCGAATGGTCTAGAAAGTATAGCAAACCACGTCACTGATTTTTATGTTTGTATTCACTCTACCTTCAAACGGTATTGAGATTGATTTAGATTTAATTATTCCATATGGTATAATAGAAACTACAAGCAAGCATTAACCCAGTTCCAAAGATTAAACAATATACTATGAATTGACAGATAGGCAGCATTTTATCCTGGATAGCAGAATAATAGGTGGCATGCGTTACTGAATACTGGTGGCATGTGTAACTGGTGGCATGAATCACCGGTGGCCTGCATAACTGATACAAACACATGATCTGGAAGGTAAACCAGACCTCTGTCCTGTGGATGGTATAGATGTCATCATAAAGTATATTTTCATAATGACGGTGTGGCTAGCCCCTATCTTTCTTCCTCCTTACTCTATAGTTATAATTTGCTTGAAGAATGAAATTGTTATTTTTCCTTTCATTCCAATGGCTTATCTTAGGAAGTTCATAGTTTAGAAAAATGGGTTAAGGTTGTTTTTTGTAAAAACAGGATGATCTAGGGATTCTTAGCAGCTGACATCCATCATAGGGGCTGCTCTTTTGCCTGGCATGAAGATCACAAGCACAAGGCCACACAGAAACATAGAATCCAAGAAATTCTCATAAAAAGCCACAAGAGAACAACAGAAAGGACACACAGAAATTATTAAATGCTTTTAGACTTCTGGTTGAAATATCTTTCTTTTTTTAAAAAAAAAAAATCTTATCAAGTTGGGCCTAATTTCTTTTTGATGGAACACAAATATACCCAACTGTACAAATAGTTGTAATACAAAATTTTGGTTCACAGCAGCTGAAGCAGTATTCTCTTAACCTAAACAGAAGTCTTAACTTCTAAACAATTTTGACTTTTAACATTTTATGATTCTATATTCATTATGTTTTAAAGTTTTTTGTTGCAAAAATAAATGATTATTTGGAATTCATAAATTAAAAATTTATAGGAACTGGGATACTTTTTCAAGGTGAATTTCTGTCTTGGTATCTTCTAAGTATTTGGTGAGTAAAGGGCCCGTTACTGTGTTAAGGTCTTCCCACAAGTATAATTACTGTTTATGAGTCTTATCTTCATTAATTAATATATAAACTAAATCATTTAATCACAATGCAATTAATGTTAATTATTGTATTTTCCTTGAGCAAGGCATAAGATACTATTTCCTGTCTCTGTGTCCAACTAAAATTAAATTCAACAGAAGTTAGAGATATTGAAAATAAAAGGAAAAATAAAGAAGCATATCCCCTTGCAGGACTTCTTTGTTTTCATGGCGAACATTTCTGTAAGGAATACTTCCTTCTTATGTTCACACTAGATGTAAGTGGGTCATAAAACATTTACGTACTAGGATGAATGGATTTTGAGCTGGGAAGCATTAATTAGTCATGTGCAATACATTACAAGCTTATGAGAATTAGAAAAGCCATGGGAAAATAAAATGAAGAAATTGACTGAAAAGCATGATAATTTGGCCAATTATAAAATGTAATTATACTGTGTTTTCCTTCCAATTACAAACTGTCTACACAAACGTTCAATAATCCATTGAGTATAAAAGGCCTTGATTGATAATCTAGAATAGGACCAGGCAGAACCAATGAGGTAGGAAATAAATATTAATAGCAAATAAACCCAACATTTTCCTTTACATATTCATTATTCTCCCCAGTAAACTTTTTTCCAGGGTTGCTAATACATTACAGAACCGACTAATTTTGTTTCACTGCCTACTAACAACAGCATCAAGCCTCAAGTGACCTGTTAGAGAGAAGGAGATGGAGGTTACTTAGGGAGGAACTCAGTAACCTCCATCTGGCTAACATAGTATTGAATAACTAAGAATTAGCTGGAGAACACTTGTCCTCTTACATGTTTTTTTGTTGATCAACCAAGTGAATTCACATGTGAATACTGATGATAAAAAATACATAGTTACCTCTTTAATTTATTTTATTTTTTTTAAATCATAAGATGCGGGGTACAAATCAGCGTTAGGTATACAAACTGATTATGGAGGCACCCTTGTGGATGAGGTGTGCACCTCCCTCCCTCCCCTGGCAATTTCCCTCAACTACCAATCCCACCCCCACTCCCCAGACAGTTTCCAGCTAATGCCAATCCCTGTCTTATAGTATTATAATTGTTCAAGGTCCACTCATGAGTAAGAA